CATAGAACAAAGTGACTGCTGTGAGGTGGGAGGTGCAAGTTGAGAAAGCTTTGGATCTCCCCTCAGTGGACTTTATCTTCAGGACAGAGAAGAGGATATATACATAAGAGATCAGGATAATTAGCACTGTGAGTATAAGTACTGACCCCGCAGAGGCAGCAGGAAGAACTTCAGCAAGATCATCTTGGTAGTTGGAAAGTTTCAGAAGTGGTGAATAATCACAGAAAAAGTGATTGATCTCATTGGACCCACAGAAGGACAAATTCAATAAGCAACCAGTAGAGATCCAAGAATTTACACAACCACCCAGATAAGATGTGATGAGTAACAGAGTGCAGACCCTGGTAGACATGTGGGTGGAGTACAGTAGGGGGCTACAGATGGCCACATACCGATCATAGGCCATCACAGCCAGCAGGAAGCACTCAGTAGTCCCAAAGGTGGCAGCAAAACAAAACTGGGCCACACAGACACCGAGAGGTATTGAGGTCTTGTCCGTGAGGAAACTGATAAGCATGAGAGGTGTGACAGATGAAGAATAACCAATATCCACAAAAGCCAAGTGACTGAGGAAAAGGTACATTGGAGTGTGAAGTTGGGAGCTATTTATGATCAATGTGATTATGCTAAGATTACCAATTAATGTGACTGCATAGACACCAAGAAATATCACAAAGAGGATGACACAAAGGGTTTGGTCATCTGTTAACCCCAAAAGAATGAATTCAGTCACAGCAGTGCAGTTATTGCCAGACATCTGTCCTGGAAAGTGTGCCTGTTAGATAGAAGAAAACGAGAATAAAATAGAATATTAGATTAGAATCAGGATTAAGATTTGGATTTATCTATTGATGCATTCAGGAAACATTAATTGACCACCTCCTACATACCCATCCTACTATTTTTCTCCCAAACTTTGCTCCTATCCACCCATTGCAAGGTGCGAATAAGCAAAGCAGTGATGAATAAATTTGTTTGCTCCAAATTTTTCCCTGCTAACCAACATTACTCTATGATTTGCAAATTTGACCATTTTGACAGTGTAAAAAAGCTTGTAAAAGTAAAAGGAATAATTTGATTTCCCCCACAGGATTCTTTCTTAAATATATGCAGAAACTATACCCAAATTTATAAAGGCTGTATTGCTGAATAGCCACCATTGTTAAGCCCTTCCAAAGAAAAAGATTCTGCTTTGTGATCCCTGACCTCTCAAAGGACCACTGTCCAGAACTGAAAATGTTATTCACTTAATGCTTGTTGACTATGGGGAAAGTCCTGGCTTCCAAGATGACTCTTGCACTATAAAATCAGAAGGAATGGGTAATCTAGTTTCTAAGTCATCTTATGTTATTTTGCTCATAGAACTTGGTATTACCAGAAAGGGCTATCATTAGGTGAGATATTGTGAGCCTGAAAAAATGTGGGAAATTTTTCATGGGAACCTCTGCTCTTTTTCATCTTATCCCTAACCTCAAATCTGAAATCACATATCTCTATAATTTCTTATTTCTGTTTCAGGCCTCACCATTATTCTAGTTCCCTTGGTTTGTAATCCTGGAATTAATCTCTACTCTTCTCTCTATCTTCCCTTACCCAACCAGTCAGTTGCCAAATTTTGCCACTTCTAGATTCACAACATATATCACATCTACTCTTATGTCCTTTCACACAGCCATCTCCCTAACTCAGGTTTAAATCGACTCTCACTTGGACTACTGTAAAAGATTCTTAATTAAAGTCCAGTCTCTATATCATCTAAACTATTCTCTAAACTATCTTCTAAACTATGCCTACAAAAAAGATCTTCCTAAAGTGCATGGCTGATCATATCATTTGTTTACTCAATCTTTAAACAAATATCTTACTGACTTGAGGAAAAAATAATAATTCCTGAGTTTGATATTTATACCCCTATATCATGTTAATCCAGTCTTGCTCTTCAGATTCATTTCACTTTACTCCCAGGCATTTCATTTTACTTCTAGCCCAACTTGCTTCCTGCCACAGACCCAAAATCCTATGCCCATCTCTGTCCCTCTGCTCAGATTATCCTCCATGCTCCAAATGCCCTAGCTCATCTCTGCTTCTTCGAATCTCAAGCTTCCTTTGTGTCTCAGCTAGTGAGTTGCCACTTAGAGGAAGCCTAATTTCTAAAACTCTATCCCTCTATAATTTATCTTGCATTTACTTATTTCATCCCTTCTTCTCCAATAGAATGCAAACTCCATGACATTAAGGACTGTTTTGAATTTTATTCTTTTTATCCCCAATGGATAGGACAGGACATCCTGCATAGTGAGAACATCAAAATATTAGTTGAATGGAAGGCAACAATGCATTTTTGAAAACCTCAAGTCTCATTCATGTTGGTATCATAATAAAAATAATCACATAACAGGAATATTAATAACTCAAATTGACAACTTAAATTTCATAAATTATTTCCCCACACACAATTTTAGAAGAATATATTGTTATGCTAATTTTACAGATGAGGTAACTAAGGATCACAGAAGTGCAGTCACAGTCAGAGCCAGTAAGACTCAGATGTGGGACTCAAACCCAGTTCTCCTAACTTCAAGTCCAATTCTCTTTCCATTACAACAACCAATAAATATATCAGCGAAATTCCTCACCCAAAGCTTCAATTTGAGAAGTGGGAGAAAAGTAACAAATAAAACAAATCTATGTATGTATATACAAAGATTTTTACCCATGTTTTCTGTACCTAACTATGTTGGATCATATACTTACTGTTTATAGTGATGTTTCAGGATATATGATATCACCTATGAGAGATCAGAATTTTATTTACTAACATGCTGCATGCCTCTAAATCTTTAACATTATATGGACCTACAAGGGACCAGAAACAACAAGACCAAAATCAGTAATAAATTTTACTCATTACTGGGGGGAATGAAGAGAGAGAGAGAGAAAGAGAGAGAGAGAGAGAGAGAGAGAGAGAGAGAGAGAGAGAGAGAGAGAGATGCATTAAAGCCCTATACAAAACTGAAATCAACATAAATTTTGACATGTCAAGAAGAATAGACAGACTTCCCTGAAATGCGCTACATATCAATAACCAGATCTAAGAATTTTTACTAAAACCAAGAATCTACTGATGCAACTAGATGATTATGTTAGGCTCCAGTTATTACCTTTGCATACCAGCACCTATTTATGTTGGGTTTCATAACATTTGGGAGGTAACACCTTGAGTACCTTAGCACCAAATGTAGCCACCATCATTAAAATGCCTTTTGAAACCCACTGGGTTTGAGAAAATTACAAATACACCAATGATTTGTGTGAGAAATTCTCTAAATTCTCAGAGGGTTTCATTATTTTTTATTTGTCTATGTTTGTCTAGGATTTTTAAAAAGTAAATAAATAAATAAATAAAACAAGATTAGATAGCACCATAACCAAATTAGTATGATCTGCCATGGAAGCTCTCAAAAATTGTTCTGAGATCAACATGAGGCAATTGTGGTTGTGACAATGTTCACTAACTATTAAATTTGGTCCTCATCACATCACCAGATTCATTTTGGTCAGGACATAACACATACTGATTACACATATACAGAACTGAAGCTGAAATACCAACTATAAAAGTCAGTTTACTAGAAACCACAGATCCTGGAACAAAGATACTAGTCATAGTGAAGACAATTATCCATGTGTAAAGGCAGTACTGACAACCTTTTCTAGGCTAATGATGAACTTTTTCTGCAATGTTTTAGAACACGTATAATTTATGACACAAAATTTTTCGATAGGACAGTTGACATGCTGCGAGTCAACTGAAGGCCAGGAAATCCCATAATGCTCTCTATATATTATTTGGTTATAAATTCTTCCCTTATCCATATCTGAGAAGAAAATTAATCCATTTCCCACTTAATTTGCTCATGGTATTAACATTTGTGTCTAAATCATGTATCCATTTTGACTTTATGTCAGTAAACAGTGTGAGATATTGGTCTATATCTAGTTTCTGTCAAACTGCTTTTCAGTTTTCCCATCAATTTTAGCCAAATAGTGATTTCTTGTCCCAAAAGCTTGGACCTCCGGGTTTGTCAAACACTATATAAAAGTAGAAAAACCCAAAGACCTCAATACCTTTGGGTAGCTGTGTGGCTTAGTTTTGTTTTGCTGCCACTTTGGGGGTAACTGAGTACCTCCTGCTGGCTGTGATGGCCTATGATCAGTATGTGGCCATCTGTAGCCCCTTACTCTACTCCATCCACATGTCTGCCAGGGTCTTCACTCTGTTACTCATCACATCCTCTCTGGATGGTTGTGGAAATTCTTGGATCTCTACTGGTTGCTTATTGAATCTGTCCTGTGGATCCAATGAGATCAATCACTTTTTCTGTGATTATTCACCACTTCTGAAATTTTCCAACTACCAAGGCGATCTTGCTGAAGTTCTTCCTGCTGTCTCTACTGGGTCATTACTTATAATCACAGTGCTAATTATCCTAATCTCTTATGTATGCATCCTCTTCTCTGTCCTGAAGATAAGGTCCACTGAGGGGAGATCCAAAGCTTTTCTCAACTTGCACCTCCCACCTCACAGCAGTCACTTTGTTCTATG